CTTGCTCCAGCGGACGACCGCGAATACCAAAAACTACGCCTAACGTCAGCACTGCTAGTCCGGTTTTCCCACCAGATTCACGCAAAAATGCGTAGATAGCGATGGTCAAACATCAAAAATCTATTTTTATCTCGTTCCTGTAATATTCAAGTATCTACACCGTAACGCAGCACTGGGCGAATTGCCACACCATACACTCAATCCTTCATGGATAGCCGGATACCGCGGCTACACCACAAACACCTTATGTTGATCAATGCTAACCGAGCCTTCTGTATGCGAGCTGCAACTTCATCCCTGATGCGTCCACCGGGTGAGATATGCCTGCCCAGATAGCAAAATATATCTACTTCNCTACTTTCCCAGTCCGAAATACCCAATATTGTAGCAACATTTTACCCTTTGCATACCGAACCTAGAGTAGCACTCAAACCATCCAGAAAAACTTGCAACTTACCTGGATCTTGACCAAACAGCACAATGCCGTCTGCATGCTCCAGATCAGACAGTCTGCTACCCGGGAGCAAATTAATACCATCATCATCGCACGCGGATGGGGCTGTTTTAAGAATTATATCTATGACTGAGTTAAATCGAAACGGAGAGAGAGGGCAGTCCTGACGAACACCACTTGATATAGTGAACTCGAGCGAAAAAATGCCTTAAACTCGAACTCGGTTTTGGCTAGCAGTATAACTTCATCGTAATATTAAAATAAATTTCTCGGGCACACCCATCAGACAGAAGCAGCCCAAGTTTAGAGTGGTCAACTGAGCCGAAAACCGCTTTCAGATGGAGGAAGATAGAAATGGTGGATCTAAAAGTGAAGATGTGATCTATTCAAACTCGACCGGGTCTAAAATCAGCCTGGTTCTCACGTGTGCCCTGTTCGCGTGCTGCGTACGATCGGCGGAGCATAATATCAGGAGAAGTTCGGAGACGTTGCCGATTAAACTAATTCCTTCGTGGTTTTCACAAGAGGACCTGTCGCTTTTCTTGTAAATCGGTATGATCACCAATTCACACCATTCTGCTGGAACTCCTTCCCACAATGAGCCGACGAGTTTAATTAAAACGAAAACCAAGGTTGAACCTCTATCTTTAAAAAACCGATGGGGACAGCCCGTCTGGGCCGGAAGCCTTATATCTCTTGAGACAATTTACTTCCCGGGTAATCTCCATTTAAGATGGAGGAGTGGTGTCAACTGACAGTATTTGCCCAGTTGAAGCAGGTATACGGAGGCTCATTGTCGATGGGGGCTTTTCTGCGGTTGTTCACTAGGCGTGGGGAGAACCTGGCTCGTAGCAGAGCATGGTCCGTGTCCACGGGTGTTGACCAGTAAGAGAAGCAGTCTTTAATTTATCCTCGCCAATGGTGGCTAATGCGAGCTTGTCGATTTGTGTCCAGCGTTATGAAGATATTGGTGGTTTCCACGAAAGGCAGTGTCGTTTCTCGTACGAGAAGTTGGTGGTTGTCAGAAACAGTTCTTGGTTATCGCAGATTTGAAGTAGGCGTTCTTCGTTGTCCCTCCGGTTATCTGTGACTGCATGTGCTCCACGAAGAAGCCTTTTTTATTCTACCACGATGTCCGTTGACCGAGCACTTGAGAGGTCGTTGTAGAATTAATCCTTTGTTTTTGGCGAACTACAATCAGTCAATGCATACATGGATACAACGAATAACCATCGACACTTCGTTCTGTATGTAAGGATCCGTAATGAACCATCCAGACATACAGCGCAAAGTCGGCTACAAACCGGGACTCAGTCGAGGAGACAGCATACATCTATGTTAAAAGTTTCAAGGGTTTAGTCTAAAGCAGCTTGTTGACCAATCTGATAGTGTACTGACGATGAATGTGGCTAAATGAAAAGGAGATTTTGGTTTTAAAAACATGCTAGCTTCTGGTTGTTTGACCTAATTAGTTGAACGCTGAGTGATATTCCATGGATAGATTACACTGGAGGCGTATTCTAGGGTTTGCGAGTGAGAAGAGGAAGAGGGCCGATGAGAAAGAGGGTTTTTCAATGTATTCCCAAGACTTTAGGACACGACATACTTCGCATTAGCCCAAATCAACGAAGGGGATTTGCTTCGGGAACCCTAACCGTAGCTTTCGACTAAAAAAATGACCCACAAGGCAGTGGGGCGTAGATCAAACGCGGCAGCATGACCGAAGTGTTCGTGTGGGAGCTTCCTGTGACCTGTAACGCAAGGTCTTTAGGTTTCTATTCAGTGTGTTGTTCGCTGGTGCGTCGATTGACGGTCCGCTTTTCGTGCATCAAATGAAACAAGCGGAACGTGCACGGGAGAGCACTTTATTGGCTGGGGGCTGCCCAGCTTAGGCGAGCGGTAGCTGTATGGCACATCGCGACAACTTCGCCTATCGTCAGGAAGAAGCCCGAGGTGCACCGCCCCCATGTCCATCTATAAGGTTTTTTTGACCGGTAGACTGCTTCTCTCCGTGCTTATTTGCAGGTGTGATCTCTTCAGGGTGAGAGTGTATAGTCGAAGGAAGCCAGCAGGTGCCACACAGCTGGCCTTGTGGAACTTAGCCTACTTTCATCAGAGGGAGGCAAAGAAAGTGAATCCCTATTATCAACACACAGAGTACACAATCTAAGTGTGCATAAATGTTTTCAAGCATTCAGACCGAATAAAAAATGACAAGAACGCCAACCAGCTAGTTGCAGTCTTTCGGACCCCAGTCTGGAAGACGGAAGACATCTATTCTACCTAATCGCTAAGTGCATTTCTTCATGCCTCGGTTCCACGTCATCTGATGACCTCCACGCGGTTTATTCCAACCTGGAGCCGCAACAGTGAATAGAGCGCGATGAGGCACACGACAGCTGGGCATGCGTAATACGTGTCCTAACCAGCGAAGCCGACTAATCTGAATTCAATGAGAACGAATTCTCCATTGAATCATTACCAAATACGCGACGCTTTATCTTAGAGTTGGTTACATGCCTGCTCCATCCAACTCGCGCAAACTACGTAAACATCGGCAGTCAAAGACCTCTAGACGACGAATATCTTCCACGGGTAAATTTAGGGTCTCGCAACCATAGAACAGAACTGGCGCACCGGCGCAGTATATAGGACCTTTGTTTCAACGAAACATCGCGTCTACACCAAAGGTGTTTCAATCCTGCGTAACCTGCTCGAGCCTTGGAAATGCGAGCGGTTACTTCATTGACTATGCTACCGTCATTTGTAACGCAGCTACTTAAGTAGGTGAAACATTCCACTACCGCTAATTATTGCCCATCAAGCATCAGCGCTGGGGTTGGCGACACCCAGTCTTGTAGCATCACTTTGCATTTCTAAGGTGCAAAGCGCATGTCAACACAGAGCTACAGAACTTGAAAGTTTGTCAAGAGCGCTTTGCGCATCCTCCATACATTCGAATAGGCATATGATGTCACCAACGTACTCCAAATCGCACAGCTTTTCTCAGGCTGCCCATTTAATACCTACGTTCTGGAGACCACTAAG